ACAGGGGTCGCCTAAGACCATCGGAAAACAAAAAGATATTTACATTACAATTCATAACAGTAGCAAAATTACAGTTATAGAGTAGCAACGAAAATATTTTGATGGTTGGGGGGTCACCAAAACATGAGGAACTGTATTAAGGGGTCGCGGCATTAGGAAGGTTGAGAACCGCTGATCTAAGGGCTTGTCCAAAGGGAGTAGCCAAAACGTAAGCGGAGTGCTATGGAAAAAGGTGCCAGACGTGGAAGACGTCGCTTTGCTCTAAATGCACCAAACAGAAAAAAGTGACTCGGCAGGGGGAGGAAGTGGGTGTCCCGGGCGTGAGCTCAGGGCACACCCTGCCACCTCAGAGGACGCGAGAAGGTGGCCATTTCCAATGAAAAAGGCAGCGGGTAGGATTTAAAGACATGTCATGTGTTGTTGGAGTAAGAGCATCACGAGACGACATAACAGTGACGCTTGTCACCCTTGGGGAAAACCTCTTCCCATCTGTTGAGCCCACAAAATGCCAGCCACGGGGACAGATGGGACCTGCCTGGCAGCGTGTGCCAGGGAGGCAGGCGGATGGCCTTCTTCAGGAAGGTGAGCTCTGGGTGATAGAAGCGGAAGACCTGGTCCACCACGTGCGGCTGAGGCTCCACCGTCAGGCGCAGCACGGCGAGGGGCTTGCCGCCACTGGCCCGGAACAAGACCTGCCGACAGAGCAGACAGCGCAGTGTCAGGATGTCCGCACACGGGCTGGCGGGCGGCTGCATGCACCAGGCCTCCTTACAGACAGGGACGGGGTCTCTGCGGTCCATCACCCCCCGTGACACGGAAGGACTGACATGGTCAGAAGTGGGGTGCCCACACAGAGAGGACGGCACCCAGCACAGGCCCGCACGTGAACATGTGCCCTTCACATGCGTATCACGTGTGGCTGCTGCTACTGCTGTTTCTTGTGAGGCACATGCCTCGAATGTCAGTGGAGAAGGTCTGCAGCCCAACACAATTATTCCACCTTCGACACGCCTGCTGTGTGCGTGCTGGGGGGTGTTCCAGAAGGATCCGGCCATGAACCTCGCCAGGTCCTCATGGGAGAAACGGAACACGTTAGCTCTTTGATTCCAGACGGTAAAATGAGACTGTGCCTAAACCAAGGGGCTAGAAATATAAACTTCCTTTTTTATACATGTTTCTTACTAAAAAACCTATTTGTCAAAAGAGGTCCTAGTTTGAACAGCTGGTATTTAGAATGGGAATCGACTCCATGACTCAGTCTGGCCCAGTGAGCCCTCCAGGCCCTGGAATGAGGGCAGGCGCAGCCACACACCAACGCCAGGACACTGTCCCCCGTCCACGCAAAGCTTGGGCCAAGAACGAATGTTCCACATGTGAAGGACGCTCTGCTTTGGTAAGTTTTATTATGAAACCTTTTAGATGCACACACATAAGAGGATACACAGTAATACCTTGGCATGTGAGCATAATTCATTCCAGAAACAAACTGCTCGTACTACAAGACATCGCTCGTTTACCACGTTAAAATGTATTAGAAATGTCTGCTCGTCTTGCGGAACACTCACAAACCAAGTTACTCGCAATCCAAGGTTCTACTGTACATGTAAAACGACGTTTAACTCACAAATTATAACAGGACAGCCACCCAGGAGCTCAGGTCCCCACTTGGAACGGGCACGCCGTCCATGGCTGAGCTCCGTGCCCTCCAGCCCCACCCTGACACACCCTCCTGAACTGTGGTCACCGTCCCCCACTTTTCTTTGCTGTTTCTCCCCTTTGGTCTTTAAGCAACACTGTTTGGTGTTGCCTTTTTGGAGCTCAGCCTGAAGCCATCACACGAGTCTATTCCCGCACCTGGTGTCCTGACTCCACCCCACGTCCTGGCTCGGAGAGAAGCCCCGACACAGCACCCACGTTCCCACCATCTGCGCCCTGACACCTTTGCCAGAATTTTCCCGCTATGCTGAGACTTCAATTCTAAAATGACCGACTGTTTCTTTAACTGCCGTGCTTGTTATGAGCAGGTCTCTGCCCCACATCCACCCCACCTCGCTCGGCCCACAGGCCCCTGCAGACCCCGTCAGTCAGCTCCACCAGCCGCTCCCGGAAGTCTGACCATGGCGGAGGGCCAGTCCGCGCTGAGGGGACCCTCCCACCTGCCTCACCCAGCCATCGTCCCAGCAGGGGCAGCTCCTCCTCAGCAGGTCCCGTCTGCACCTGAACATCACAGACCCAGCCTTGTGGCTTCTGGGCAGACCCTGCACCAGCCCAGCGAGGAGCGCCTTCCTCGGAGGCCTGAGCCGTAAGTCACGGAGTCCAGCTTTGTCCCTTGCTGCCCCAGCGTGGGCGTGGCAGGTAGCAGCTTCCTGCTGTCTCTACCTCCTAAAGTGTAGCGTTCTCTTCTTACTCTCCCAGCTACCTGGTTAACAACATCTCGCCCAGTTAACAACCGCTCATATGAAGCTCCCTGTTAAAAGTAGCTTCTGGAGCAGCCGATTAGCTCAGCTAGTTAGAGTGCAATGCTCAGAACACTAAGGTTGCCGGTTCAATCCCCACATGGGCCACTGAGATGTGCCCTCCACAACTAGACTACAACAACTACTTGACTTGGAGCTGATGAGTCCTGGAAAAACACACTGTTCCCCAAAAATAAAAAAGTAGCTTCTGTCTCCCAAGTGCTGGTCTCCCAGGGGACTTGGGGCAGACAGAGCAGCCGGGGGAGGTATAAGCTGCAGGCACAAAACACATTTTCTTCTCTTAGTTTCACAGGCACCACTGCCTAATTCTGGATGATGCCCCATGGCCCTCTCCTCTCGGCTTTGTTTTCTCCACAACATGACCACCGCCCACGTCACGCTTCATGTGTTTGGCGGAGTCAGTCTCTCCTCCAGGATGAAAGGCAATTTGGCTGTCTGTTCCCTGCTGGGTCCCAGGGCCACACACGGGCCTGGACACAGACCACGAGCCCCACCTGCTGTCCCAGCGGCCGAGGGTCCAGGACACAAGCACCCAGCGAAGCCGTCTGCACCTCAGGCGCACAGAACCTGTAACAGGGAGACCCTACGGGGCTGAGCCTTCTAGAACTTAAAGCAGTACAGGAGCAGCCCCCACGGACACCGCTGGGGCAACAACCCTNGAAAAATATTTTCACCAAGCCCGGGTTTTTATTTCCCAAGCTTCGTGATTCAGTTTATTTCTCCTCTTCCCAACATCAAATCCATTTTTACAAATCAGTCTGTGTTCAGCCCCTTCCCTTTTCCCCTGCGGAAGAGCAGCTAACCAAACACCAAGGCCACTCGCAGGGCTGTCATTTCTCTATGAAACAGCACAGGCGGCTTCCACAGAGCCCAGGCTAGGGCGTCTGATGGCCGTGGCGGATCAAGGTGGCCCGCAGCTCCACTGCGGCCACTGCTCTGCCCCCCAGTTCCAGAGGGGTGTGGACACCACCACACACGCTCACACGTGCACACACACACACACTCACAGCCTTCCCCCGTCGGTTTGCTCCATCCCACCCCCGTGCCAATCACACCCGGCAGGACCCACCCACCTGCGTGTCCAGCGCCCTGTCACTCACGTCTCAGGCCCCCACGCGTGAGGAGGCTGCCTCCCTCGAAGCGGCTGGCTCCGTCATTCGAGATGACTCGTGACCTGGACGGTGGCAACGACCTGGAATCTCTCACTCTCTGTTCACACGAGTGACCTACATTAAAAACAGAAGACATTAAGACATTAATACCAAATGAGTCTGATGAAACACATCCATGTGCTTATGAGGCGGTCCGGCTTTCATGGTCCATCCACACCTGACCACTAGCATCCCACCTTCCACTCTCGGTCTGAATTTGCAGTTGAGAGATGCCAGTGGGAGCTTATGCTTCAACCTCCCTCCTCTCTGGGCTCCTTCCCGGCTCTGCTTCCCAAGGGATTTAAAGCTCGGCGCTCAGAGTGTACCTCACTTGTCCCTGTGTCTGCCCAGCACCTCACCCCCACCCCCTGCCACGGCTCACACACTGCCATGGCATGTTCAACAATATGAACACATATTGTTGGAGAAAGGCCTCTGTGCACCTGTGCAAACATCTAACTCCAAATGCATCTGAAGGTACAAGAGCCTCCACAACTAGAATCTTCTCAAGCTGTTTTTCAGAGAAGACTTTGAAGGGAGGCAATGCTCCCGCGGATGGATTCAAGCCCAGAGGCAGAGCACCGGCGTGCATGCCCGGGACTGACTGGAGGCAGCGCCCACGGACTGGCCAGCGCCTGAGCATCTGGTGGGGAATGGAAGTGTTTGCCCACAGAAACCCTTCTCCAGAGGACGGCATCCTATGTGGGCGCTCACAACCTCTCTGCATGGACTTGGCTTCCAAATCAGGGTGAGGCAGCACACAGCTAACGAGGTCACATTCCGAAATGGACCACACAAAACTTGCACTGCTCATTTCCGGTTCCTGCAGGCGGGGAGCAGCCTGGCGAGCTTGCTGGGAGCTGCCAAAAGTGCCCGGTTCACCCTCCCTGCTCAGCTCGGCCTCTTCTGCCTCCTCAGACCTACCTGCTGCTCCCGGCCTCACGTGAAGCTTGGCACCTGCCAGCAGGCTGCTGTTTGCCAGGGCAAGCTCAGTGCTGGACCGTCAGCACACCCACCTGCCCGCAGGTGTGATGTGTCTCCTCACTGACACAAAGGGTGTTTTTCTGCGCCGTTGCCTGACAGAAATGTCCCTCTCTAGACTGGCTCTGAGCTGACGCTGGACAGGGAGTGCCCATCCCTCCGAGGGAGGTTAGGTTGGGCGGTCTCCTCTGCGCTGCTCCCAATGGGGGCGCCCTCTCCAGGCCCCAGAAGACAGCAGCCAGGTCCTGAAACTGCAGCTGGAGGCCATCCCCCAAAAGCTAGTGAGGACGAAGGCCCGATCTGGGGGTGGGGAAAGGCCGGTTCAGGACCAGCAAGTGAAATCATCTGTGACCAAGCGGCAGCCATTCATCTGACGTGGTCTCAAGGCTGGTGACAGATACACAGAGAGCAGCGAGCGTCCTCTCTTCTAAGAACATCCATGCTTGTTGTCTGCAAATCCCTTCAGTTGTCTTCGGTGTTTTCTGAACCTCAGCTCCTGCTGGCCTTCCTGCGACAGGAACCTGTCTTGTCACCTGTCTTGTCGCCTGTCTTGTCACCTGCCCTGTGGCAGGCTCACAGCTCAGAAAGCAGCCTGGCCAACGCTGCCCTGTCAGTGGCCTCGTGTCTCCTCTCAGGGCCAGCAGCAGCAGGGCAGAGGCGGGAGCCTGTTCTGAGCCTCCCCGAGGCCCCGGCCTGGGACACTGGATCAAGTGCCCTGCCCACAACACGCTGGGGAGCCAGCTCTGGATCCCAGCCCGGCCTGCCGGGCACCCACGCCATCACCCCCGCACACCAGACGGCAGGCAGCGCTGCCTCTTCCCACCCTGCCAGTGAGTTCCCCACTTCCTCTGCCAAAGCCAGTGACAAAGCCACCCGGGTCCCCCTGGGGCAGCTCCAGTGCCAGCCCACTGCAGCCCATGGCTAAGGGTTCCCGCTCAGCAGGTGAAGCCACCTTTGGTCCCCCGCATCTAACTAAAATGAGCGCCGGCCTATCGTAAGCATCTGAGAGACACACAGAAACCAAGGTGAGGCTCTGGTCCAGACAGCGCAGCGAGGCAGGTGACCAGCGCCTTGGAGTGTGGGCTCTCAGGACTGATGACCTTCGCCGCAGCGTGGGGGACCAGCAGGACCACGTAGTCCCCTCCTGGACAGACAGGGGCGTCCCCAGGCTTCATGACCATCTCCTTCCTGTACTTGTACTCAGAGCCCCGGTTTGTTCAGATGAAGGAACAGTAAACCAGCTGAGTTTACATTTGCACAAAGACTCTCAGCCCTAAGAGGGCGAGGAGGCTGCATTTATTCAGGGTACAACTGGCATCTGAAAGTGCTGCAGGTCTCCTGCTAAGGGAGCAGAAACCCTCCAGATACACAGGGCTCCTGATCAGCCACACACCTGTCCCACAGAAGCACAGCACAGCACCACTGTCTGGCCCCAAACCCCGGGGGCATGGTCCACACCAGCCGGTCTTCCTTCACCCAGAGAGCATGGGTCGCGGACGGTGAGCCAAGGTGAGGGCCGCCCTGCCTCCCCCAGTGACAGCGGAGCTCCCAGCCGAACTGTGCTCACGGCGCAGCCGGGTCACTGGGAGAAAAGAAAATAACTCAGCTTCTATGATGTCTGCGTGACGAGAGATCACTGAAAGACGGCTGCAGAGGCAGCTGTCGAGAGTGTCAAAGAGCTTGTCAGACCTGAGAAGCCACCAAGCACGAGGACGGCCCTCTCCCATGGAAGGAGTCCCAGGAGACCTGGGGCAGATGCCTCCTCCGGCGGCCTCCCAGCTGATCACGCACCGTGAGGAACAAGGCACGGAGCACTGCCCAGGCCGAGCTGGGCACCGTGACGCTGGCGTGGACCCTCCCTGTCACCCAGGGGGCTCACATAACCATCAGCCAATATACTGGCCTGTGTCTGCTGCATGGTACATAACAACCAGTTTCATAAAGAAATAAAAGCCACAACACTTTTATTTTTCAAGAAACGCAGACTTTACAGGGGAAGCCGCAGTGCGGCCGCTCTGGGACGGCATGGGGCGTGCAGCGTTTATCCTTTGTTAGCTGCTCCCCGGCACGCGTGCAGCGCAGCCTCTCGAGCTGGGTATCTCAGACTCTTTCCCATGAGCTTATCTCTCCCTTGCAGGCAAAGTATGAAAATGACAATTTAAGATAACATATAATGGAGCTAATCTTTCTTCTGAAGATAAGATTTTAACACCCGGAGTCACTGCATATTTGTGGGCTGGTGAATTAAATATAAAAACAACCAATACACTCTCGGAAGCAGAGTGCTTCTTGCAACTCCCTCAGTCCTAGGAGCTTGTGAATGGTGCCTGCTTCTCACACGTGGCTCATTTATTTCTTGGAACCTAATTGAGTTTTGCTGTTTCCATATTGACTACTTTCCAGGCTGCCTCGGATCCCACATTTGTAAACAAGCAGGCAGAAACCTCAAACCCGAATTAATGAGCTCTGCCCACTCCGTGCTGTGGCCCGTGGGGCTCGAGCCTTTAAACTCGGGCTGGGTTTTGAGGTATGGAAAATTCCTCGATTAAACAACAGAGGTTTGAGTCCCATGCAGACAGGCTCGGCTCCACAAACCTCAAATGGCTTGGTTTTTTCCAGCTTTCAGTTCTGCCCAGAAAAACCCCAGTCCCTCCACAGTCCCATCAAAGGAGACCGAGTGGGCTTGTCACCTGCCCACAGGGGCTGGCACTGGCCCTCTGCTCCGAGGTGGCCTCTGTGTCTTGTCCCGTTAGGGACCTCAGTCACGCCTCCAGGACGTCCACGCAGGACCATTGCAGCCACAGCCAGCCCAGCCCTGCCCACCGTGCAGCACCCGGGAGGAGGCCCCGCGCCTCTGAGCAGCAACTCAGGACATCACGTGATGTACGGTCAAGGCCGCCGCTGTAGGCACGTGTGCGTCTCCGCTCCCATCCCCAAGCTGTATGGAAGCCCAGCAACACTTCTCTTTTCTCTCCCCCGTGATGAGGCAGTTCCGTGGGCTGACACTCCCAATGAAAACCTCTCCTGAAAGCAGTCAGTTTCTTTGAGGTTTGTCACAATGGTGCCCGAGGGACAGAACCAAAAAACAAAATGTGGGCAAGACCTAGACGACTAATGATCCCAAATCCTGCTCAGAAATCAGAAACACCGAACAACTGGTGCCAAGACAGGCTCAGTGGTCAAGCTAGTAAGTGTTTGTCTCAATTCTTACTGAGTATACGGTGCCCAGTGTGGCCACTGCCCTGAGGGAGCTCGTGCTCCAGCTGGGATGACACGAGACCAGACAAAGCTGCCAGCGGCTCTCACCTATGTTGGCCAAGGTCAGGTGCAGCCAGCCCTTCACCAACATGTGGACGCCGATGGGCTTGACGCTGCCAAATCCAGTCACGTCTCCACTCACCACCATTGCATCCTGCTCATATTCGGTCGCCACAACCTCGAGCTCGTGCGAGACCTGCACAGCCGGCCGCCCCTGGCGGAGGAGGTGCTGCGGAGACAAGGGCGCCAATCAGGGTGGCCGAGACAGAGACCACCTTCTTCCGAAAACCTGGGTCCCAGATGCTGGGTCTTCCCCACACATTCTGTAATGATGTGCAACCCGATTCACCCGCTGAGTGAACACCAGGAATGCACAAATGGGCCTGGGAGCCACCCTCATGGGGTCCCCTCCGTGGGGAGACAGATGGGATGGAGCAACAGAACAAGGCGGGGGGCACTGGACACAGCCCATCTCTGGGTCGGTGAGAGCTCCGAGGTCTGAGCCGGACCTTTAGAACAAGGATATGCCTACAGGCAGGGAAGGCTGGGGGACGCGCCAGGCCCGGTGCACAGAGAGAGCCCCCCCCCCCTGGGGCCGGGAGCAGAGGGCTTTGGTATGGCTGAAAGATGGGTCGTAGGGTCAGAAGAGGGGCCGTGGGACCACTGGAGCCAAAGGGCCAGGGTCTCCACACCAGGCTGGGCTGCAGAGCGGGCCAAGAGCAGACCCGCGCAGCATCAGGACCTTGCTGACCACGGTTTTCTCAGCGAACCAAGTTTAGCCCCTCAGTCCTCTGCCTGAGCCAAGGGCTACTGAGGGCCACAGGGGGATGACGGAAGCACAGGTCACCTCCGGGCCCAGGTGGGACCCTCTTCCTGTGAGGCCTTGGGAAAGTCAGTCACCTGACTTCTCAGCTAGTGCTTCTTGTTCGTAACTGGAAGCGTGGGACCACACTACGCCTACGTGCCGCTTTTGGAATGCTTGCACTGCCACAGCAGCAACAGTGTCCGGCTCTGGGACTGGAGGTGCCCAGAGCTGACCCCTGCTTGTGGGTCTGGGGGCTTCCAGCTGCCTCAGGCCCTGCTCGCTTAGCAGTGCTTGCCCGCATTCCCACATAACCGTACCAAGTTCACGGTTCAGACCCTCGGCTGCTGGACTACACACAGACCCCCTCGGGAGAACGGCCAATCAATGCAAGCAGGGACCCCCACCGTGCCAGGAAGCAAAGAAATACCAATACAAACAGGTTATCCTCTCTCACCTGGGACACTGCAAAGATTTGTTTAAAGCTACGAGGTGTGATCAAACAATATGGTGAATGTTTAAATAAAAAAAATGTATTACAGTAAAAGACACATTGCAGTTAACCCCTCTCAAAATACTCCCACTCGCTTTGAACACACTTATGCCACTTTCTGAAGCAGTTCTGGAAGTCCTCTTTCATGAGAGTCTTTAGTTGCGCTGTTGTGGCTGCGTCCATGTCCTGAATCCATTTAAAACGTTTACCTTTCATGGTCATTTTGACTTTGGGGAAGAGCCAGCAGTCGCACGGTGCCAGGTCTGGTTAATAAGGTGGATGAGGACACACCATAAAGTTTTTATTTGACAGAAATTGCTATACCAGAAGCGATGTGTGACACAGAGCCTTTCTGTTGTGATAAAAAAAAAATACGGTGAGTGCTGCTGCCAAGTGCAATACAGCGGAAAAGCAGGATCTTCAATACGGGAAGCGGCACATCGAACCTTAGTAATAGTGTGTGATAAGCTTCAACTTGTTCAGTGCAGTCAGTTGGGTGTGAGCTACGGTTGAGAGAAGGTGTGTTCTAAAGTGTGCCGTAAATCATCCTCCACCGTGACAGCACTCCATGTCACACATCGCTTCTGGAACGGCAATTTCTGTCAAATAAAAACATTACGGTGTGTCCTCATCCACCTTATTCACCAGACCTGGCACCGTGCGACTTCTGGCTCTTCCTCAAAGTCAAAATGACCATGAAAGGTAAATGTTTTAAATCAATTCAGGACATGGTGGCAGCCACGACAGCGCAACTAAAGACACTCATGAAAAAGGACTTCCAGAACTGCTTCAGAAAGTGGCAAGAACGATGGGATAAGTGTGTTCGAAGCGAGTGGAATTATTTTGAGAGGAGTTAACGGCAATGTGTCTTTTACTGTAATAAATTTTTTTTAATTTAAACACGCACTGTACTGTTTGATCACACCTCATAATACCCTGTGAAGGCGGGAGGTGCCCTTGTCTCGGCTCCAGGAGGAACAGCCGTAGCAGCAGCCGGCTCTGAAGCTGAGGCTGTCACATCGTGCACCTCTGACCCAGAAATGCCGCTTCTGAGAAGCTGTCACCTGGGGAAGGCACAGTTCCGAGTCAGAACTGTGCTGAAAGCCTGGCTCTGCCAGTGTCACCGTGACCTCGGGGTTGGGCTGAGGACACGGTCAGTGAAGTGGAGGAGCAATCAGGCGTTAGTGACAGAGCAACCAGCACTGTTACCCTATCAAGGTGACACTGTCGTCACTCTCAGGAAACGAGCTGCAGACATGGGCAAATGTAACATCAAACGTTCCCACGAAGGTTCTAACGGGAAAAGAGCACCTGAGTGTCCAATATCAGGGAACAGGTGAAACGAGATACGATGCACCCCTACCCGGCAGAAAATCAATCTCTCCAAGGCTAAACATAGCACCCTAACTACCTCTGGATCAGGGGTTACAGGGGACTGTCTTTTCTTAGACAAATTATCCCTCTTTTCTATATAAATGTTAAATTAAGGAATTCTTTATTGTTAAAAAGTAAAATTTAATTTTAATTTACCAAAGTCTGTATCACTAAACTTAACAGCGCTTGTTTAAGGCCTTTTTGTGGAGGAAGAGATCAAATAACTCCACCTCCAGATGTGGCGGCTCCCAAGAGACACAAGGGCTCGGCTGGGATGGGCAGGACCAAGGGTCCCCGAGGCTCCACAGCAGGGCTCCCCTCTGCCCTCCCAGTGCCCCCTGCGGGCACCCCCGGGTCCATCTGTCTACCTTTCTCATCCCTCCCGCCATTCGTTCATTCCCGTCATCGCTCCATCTGTTCGTTCATTCTCAGCCATGCAGTGCCCACTGTGGCTTAGGACCCTGCTAGAGATGGACAGTGACCACCCCATTCCCACCCTCCAGGACGTCACTGGTCAGTGTGGGAGACAGACAAGCAGTGGCCACGATGACCATGGCCCAGGTGGGGACTGAGGGACCAGGATGAGGCATGAGGACATCAGCTGACACCGCTGTCCTTGCTGCGTGTGGACCCCACCCCAGCTGTACGCACACTGCCCCCCCCCCACTCCTCCCAATGCCCTGGGGGCACCACCCCTCAGGGATGGACATGAGTCACGGGGGTTGGGGGGTCAGCCATCAGGAAGGGAGGGGGAGCAGTGCCCCGAGGTGTCAGGCCTGGCCACCGCGGTGCAGGAGCCGTGAGCTCGTCACGGTGAAGGGGTTCTGGGGGCAAGAGGAGGGGCCCGGACCCGGAGGGCTCAGTGACGCCGCCGCTGCTGCCCGGCAAGGCTCAGGCAGGGAGACCGAGGTGGGGCGGTCGGCGGGCCCCCAGAAGGAAAACAGCCGTGTGGGGCGGAAGAGGACTGGACGAACGGGGGCCTCGGGAGCGGCCGGCACGGTGCTCGCTCCTCTCCACCCCCCACCTCTCCGCTGCTGGGAGCAAGACTCTCAGGCCCGCACATCGTGGGGCCAGTGGAAGTGGCCCCAGTCCCGGGTTGACCATCTGGGGCCCCGGCCGTGGAACAGAAAAGGCCTGCAGAGACGCCAGGGCAGAGCCGTGGTGAGCGCGTGCTCTCAGCGCCTTGCCGAGGGGAAGGCAGGTCAGCTAGAGAGAGGCTGCCGCCTCATTCTACCTGGAATTAGGAAAGCACAGCTCATCACCCACAGGCATGAGGGCACGTTTGCATACCCCAAACCCTTCCTTCCACACTGACGACATCCAGCCAGGCTCTCGGGTAACGAGGTCGACCTGGAGCTGCTCTCAGGGACCTGGCTGCCTCCCCATCGAAGGGCCAGAAGGTGACATTACCTGGGCGGTCTGTGCAAATAGAAGTCAGCATTACAGAATGCAGATTCTGTGAAAACCGTTTCCTTTTAGGAAGGAGACCACCTGGCGGTGTTCTGAATTTGTGAACAGGAAACCAGACCACCGTCCAGCTGGACAATGGCCAATGCCCCAAGCAGACAGACCTTCCCGGGAGGACAGTCCACCCCGGCCGTGCTCGGCCTGCAGGGACCGCTACCTTCATCTGAACGGCGGCAGATCCGATGAGAAGCAAGGAGTCCCCGTCCCAGACGTCAACCTGCAGGCTGTGCACAGCCAGGTAGCAGCTGAACCAGCGCCGCTCGCCGGGCTTCAGGAACCCGGGGTCTACCAGGAACCTCAGCTGGAAGCCGGGAGAGCCTGCCGGAAGAAGCCCCAAATGAGCCCAAAGGCGGTAGGACGTGTTTACCATCTTCACCCTGAAGAGACTTCTGCTCTGGTCATGCTCACTAATTTCTGCTTCTGTCATAGCTACAGTTTAATAAACACGTTAATCAAACACAGCATCAAATATCCAAAGGAACAAAATGAAGAGTAGTGTTCACAAGACTACATGTCTTTCCAACACACTCCTCCCAAAATAAGATTTGTGGCTTCCACCAAGTCCTTGTGCAACAGCCCATGCTGGGCAGGAACACGGCTCTGAAGGGCTGCAGGGAGTTTATTCTGCTGGACGCACAGGATTGGAGGAGAAATTAGTCAACATCTCCCGTTAAAACTGATATCCACACGCACACATGCAGAGCTCAACAGACGCCGTCAAGGAGGCCCAGAACCCTTACCCCCACTCCCCCAAACATGCTGCAGTAGAACGTATGTCCGTCCCAGCCACAGGCTCCCCTGCAGAGGGACCTCCTGTGCCCGCCCTCTGCCCTGCACTTACTCCTCCCCAGGAGACAGCAGCTCATGGGCTGGAGGGTTTGGGAAAGGAACAGGGCCTGAGCTGCTCACCCCATCCCATCTCCTTTTCAGATTTACCCGCAGGAAGAGAGGGTGCTGGGGTCCCCAGCTCTGCCGCATGGTCCGAGGCTGCCCGCTGCTGTCCGGCCCTACTCGCCCTGCAGCAAAGTCTGCCCGATAGGGGGTGAGAGCCAGCAAGGGCGTGCGGGTCTCGGAGGAGCCACATTCGTGCAAGAGCGCTGACCCTCTGGGCTGAGTGTGACCTTCTGACCTTGGGCAAGGGAAAGGGCAGTACCTTCTGTACTCAGAATGCCTCGCGCCTAACTAGTTGGCTCACCCTTCCTGTGACCTCTTTGTCATCTCAGCATTTCTGCTCATGTTTAAATTTCTCTGCTTCTACTTTTATTGGGTTTGTTCTGTATTTTTTTCACCAAACCTCTTGAGTTGAACAATTAGATCAGCATTTTAGAAGATATTCTTCTCTCCCGATATAACCACTTAAAGCTGTAAACTTCCCTGTAATCACCATTTTACTTGCATCTCGTTAGCTTTAATATGAAATGTTATTTTGTCATTCAGTTTTAAATAGTCATTTCTATTTTGATTTCTTAATTTACCTATGGAATAATTAGAAATACATTTTAAAATTCAAAAATACCCAGCAGTCTGGACCCTTCTGGAGGGAGGCAGTGAGGGAACTCTGTCCCTGTGGCATTATGATCAGAGAACGCCATAAAATTAGACTTAATGTAGATTATCTCGGTATAAGGTGACATGTGCTTGGTGGCCTAAAATATATACACAGAGGGTGCAAAAAAACATATACACATTTTAAGAAAGGAAAAAAAACCCACTAAAATTACACTGATAGGAACCACTTTGAGCACGTCTTGGAATTACAGAAATCAAACGTGGCTTGTATTCATCTTTTGTTATTGGTATATATTGAGTAGTACAATTTTAACACAGTTTTTTTCTTCCTTAAAATGTGTGTATATTTTTTTGGCACGCTCTGTAGTTGAATGAGCAGTTTTTATAAGTTTCAAAGTATGCTTGAAAATAATGCATACTCCCTCCTCCCCAATTCCCCAACACTGTTCCCCTCCCCCAATTCCCCAATTTAAACAAACAAAAAAAAGAAAATAACGCATACTCTCTAAATTGGTGACAGGTTTTTTATGATATCGTCTTTTTAATTGTATTTTATAATACCTATTAATTTTTTCTCCTTGATCTATCAATTTACTGAGAGGTGTGTTAAAATCTATGATTGTAGGTTTGCCAATTTCCCCTTACAAAGTCTGTCGATTTTTCCTTTATATTTAGAGCTGTGTTTGTTAGAAGTTCATGGATCCAGAACTGTTTCTTTTCCTAGTGACTTATTCTCTTGATTGTTATTTATAAGCTTCTTTATCCTAGCATTGCATTTGCCTTTTGTCTGATGTTAATATTGTTAAACTACTCATTTAATATTTTGATATGTCTTTTTCCACCTGAGGTGGGATATTATTATTGGGTTTACGTTTTTCTGATATACATAAGGAAGTACTTATCGATGAAATACACGCTGTCTGGGCTGTGCTTCAAAACAAGCCTGATCTGCAAAGAGATCAGGGTGGGGACACAGCTGGCAGCTGTGGGCGCTGACTGGCAGCAGCTGGCTCATTACAGGATCCTCTCAAACCCTGTATATGTTTGAATATGTTCACTGTACAATATTTAATAAGGAAACTGACAAAGCTTAGCGCCAGATCCCTCACGTCCGCCCAGGGCACAGCTCTCACCAGCATCAAAGCTGCCATCCTTATCGATCAGAACGAGGCTGTGGGACACGGGGCCAGAGCTGGTCCTCCCAGGCTCGCCCAGCTTGACCAGCTGCAGCCGCGGTGTTGTCGTGGGAGGGAAGCGGTAGAACTGGAAGGTGAAATACACAGTCTGGGGCCACGGCACTCCCTGGCGGTCCTGGGGCAGCCTGAGTCCAACAAAGCTCCGAATTAATCCAGGACCCACAACAGTGAGCCGGGCTTTTGGCACCACTAGCTCGGGGGCCATGGGGAGATGCGCCGCCTTCACCCACATGAACAGCTAGCTCTCCTGCGACCTCGGGGAGCCCTCAGGACATCAACCCACTACAGGTGTGGCTGGAGACCCTGCTCTCAGAGTCACACCCATACCTGAGAACTGGCCAACAACATACTGCCCCTGTTTTTATTAAGGGCCACAGACGATGGGGCAAAGCAGGTTGCACAGCATTTAGAAATGGCTGAGGATGGGGCCTAGCCAAACCGAAGTAAAAACAGATGGCCTCTGTTAACCTAATAAGCCTGGACATACGGAGCTCTGCCAGGTCAGAACCACACGGGACTTTTGCTTCAATGCAAGAAATGCAAAAGCCAAGTAAAGAGTCACAGACAAAAAATTCAAGAATTTACCTGCTAAAGGCAAGAAACTGTAGCACTATTTCATTGCTTTGTAGGCAATCTGATTCTTCTTTCTGAGGGTTGAATTTCACAGGATCTGTAGGATTTACAGCCTCAACTGGTCGCTTATTGGCATCCAGAATCTCCGGAAAGCCGGAGGACTGCAGGAGCACCATGGAGGCTCGCGAGAGCTGACTTCCAGAGCTGAGACAGAAAGACATCCTCAGGCGGCCTCCCCGGGGAGAGGGCCGGCAGAGAGGCGGGACCTGGAAACCCACTTCTCTGGGGAAAGCCCGTTATTCAGAGAGCCAAATGGTCTTGGTTGCACAGCATTTGCCCGGGGCCCTCCCAGGTCCACCCCTCACCTCCTGGTCTGGGCTCCCGCGACGATCGGCGCATGCACAGGTGTGAAAGGCAGCTCCTGCAACCTTTCAGCGACGGATGTTCCCGGGGCCGAGGACGTCCGGCTCAGGTCCGCTTCCAGGTGAGCGATCCTGCCCTCCAAGGGGAACTCCTGCTGACCGAAACGAGGCCCCAGGTGAGGCCAGAAAGCATCCCCACCTGTAACCAAGGGCGCTTGGATGGGGGGCTCCTCCATGTGGGGGCCACTGTCACATTGTCGGCGTTAGCTGATAAAAACACAGGAGGCTCAGCTGCCTTTTCATTTCCAGTAAACAATGAATGGTTCTAGAATAAGTATGTCCTGTGTAATATTTGGTGCATGCTTATACTTAAAAGTGACTGTTTATCTGAAATTCAATTGTATTTTATGGGTGTCGACAAGAAAAGAAATGAGGAAGGAATCGCTGATTTTACGAACAACTCAGTGGGAAGACAGGTGATGCCCAAGAAGGGGAATTAATTTCAAAACCATGTTTATGAAACAGGAAGATGAAAACTCCTTCAACGCTGCATGACAGGCTGTGCTGCGAAGCCCCTGGCTCGTGTGTGCAGACATTTCTTGTGTCCCTGTGTCACTCGTATTCCGCCGCCCACGTCCCTCCAAGGCAGGAGACGCATGTCTAAACCAAGAGCTTGTTTGGGAATCCAGGGTGCTCTCTTTCAAGCGCGCTTCCCAAGCTTCCTGTTTCAGTTCAAAAGGAACCGCATGTAACCGGAGGTCACCCCAACACGTGTCTCAGGTGCCAATCATAAGAGACGCAAGCTCTTCATGAACACACGAGCCCCAGCTAAATTCTAGGATAAGCACTTCATGGCACCGTGACTGCCTGCAAACAAGTAATTACACGGAGCTACTTTTCTCAGCGGACCTCCAGTGAGGACTGAGGACACATTTTATAGGTGAACCAGCCAGCGTTTTGAGACCAAACTCTGTGAATTCCCCAAGGTCAGTGGAAACACAGGCCTATTTTGGGCCATTAGCTCCACCAGAACCCAGGACCGTAGGCCTCACTGATTCTCCTTCAGCCGCTGACAGCAAGGAGAGCGTCCTGCAGAGCTGGCGGCTTGGATCCGCCTCTATTTTAATCTCTGTGGAAACTTAACTTTCCCGTCTGTGTGCAGAGAGCTAAGGGCAGTTCAACTTTGTCTTCTCAAACAGAGCAAAAGCGTAAATCACGGAGCTCCCAGACCAAATGCTCCTTGGTCACCAAGACAGAATGGTGGCAAATCTCTGAAGCATGGAGGGTTCCTACGCCTGTAGCGCAGAGACAACAGTCTCGGTCACCTAACCAAGGACCAGCGTGCTCGCAAGGTTGAAAAACTTCATGGAAGTCAGGAGTCTGGGGCTGCTGCCTGGAAGGACGTGGGGTGTACTCACCACCTGGGTCCAGGAGGGTTCAGAGGCTTCGGGCTGCTGTGAAGCCAGTTTGGCAGAGCGGCGCCGAGTTGGGGACCGTGGAGAAGCTGCCAGCTGGGAAAGTGACAACTGAAGGGAAGAAATCTTGGGTAAGACGATAAAAAATACTCCGAAAATGTCACGAAGGCCCTCCCACCCACGCTGGCACAGTCATCAAAGGACAGAGGACTCCGGACGCAGCCAAAGGAAGCAGAGCAGTCTGCCATCTCCTGGTCAGGCTGGTCTGGACCCCAAACTGTTTCTGATTTCCTTTATTTGAATTATCGAGAGACACGATTCTGTGATCTCGCCTAGATTGTAACATTTGAGCAAAATTAACAAGGAAAAGAAAGTGGAGAGGGGGATAGGGCCGGGGAAGCCAGGCTCCCCGCCACTCACAGGCTCCCGGGCAGGCTGGTCTCCAATCCTCTCAGTCTCACCTCCATCCCCGCACTGACCGTCTCCAAGACCCCTTCCAGCTCTGACCACCTGTGCTCCTCACATGGGCCAGCCAGCGCAGGCTCTGGGGACACTCAACAGGACTCCCCAGTCTGCCACTTCATTACCACGTGACTGTGGGCAAGTCACCTAACCTTGTGTGCCTCAGTCCCCTCGCCTGTGAAACGGGGATGGTAACAGTACCTAAATCACAAGACTATTGTGAGAATTAACTGAGATTCACGGAAAGGGCTTGGCACGGTACCCGGCATATGGTAAGCCTTCTATGAACGTTACAAACATCTGGAACGTGAATGCCGCAGTGAGAGGCTGATATGGGAGGATCGTGGGTCCTCTCTCCACGAAGACCCGTCCGTCTCTCAGACTGTGGGCTCTAGATACAGCGTGCACATTATAAACGGGACGTCTGCTGTCAACAACGGCAGTTGGCCGAAGGAAGGTGCTGGAACAGAGGACTCAGTATGTGAAGAGGTGTCCAAGAGACGGACGAGGGGGTGCGGGCAGCAATGGGGCATCCCGGCAGCATCTTCAGGGGCCAGAAGGGATCCTCAGAGCCTGTTCTGTTCCCCTCAGGCCCACACAAGCTGCTGTGAGCCCCTCCTGCCCTGGAAGTGAGAAGTGCTGTCCTGTGCCCTGAACACTTCAGGGTAACATGGAAACCGCTGGAGGGAAAATGCTGGGACAGGCTGCTGCTAAGCACGTGTCTGCAGGGGATACGACATCTCTGGTCCCATTTCCAAGCTGCACGGCACACATTAAAGCTGCTTCTTAGGGACAGCCTTTGATACTGAATTACTCAACTTTTCTAGAAAGTCAGTTTCCAGGGTGATGCTGGCAGACGAAGCCATCAGCAGGACAAGCCCACTCTGACATTCAAATTCACGCGACCGGCTCAGGATTCCAGAGGGGCAGCCACGCCGGCCAAGCAAGCCGGAGCCTTCCTTTCCTGGCAGGGACCCTGCACGTGGACACTTCTGTTCTCTGACAAGCGATCGTCCACTAGCCAGGTCTCTGCTGCTGCGGCCCTGTCTCCATGAGCACCCGCTGCTGGGCCTACGTGCCCGCTGCTGCCTGAGGAAGCCGCAGCCTGGCTCCCTGGGCAGTGGAGACTGCCAGGTCCTCTCCTGGCAGAGGTGGTCGGGAGAGGAGGGGTGAAGACCACACCTCGGTGTCTCATGAAAGCAACAAAGGTGGTTCAGTCCTGAAGATTCTCAGCCTTAGACAGAATGGCCAGGGAGAATGCATCATTTTTAAAAGTGGGGGAGCGTGCCTTGGATGGCAGCCTGGAGAGTCACCAACCATCTCTGGGAGCCACCGCCCTGAGCAGTATGTTAGGAACTCACTGCCACTAGGACACCTGCCCCTCCCCTCCAGCTCCCCAAGCCCAGAAAAGCACACGGACATCGACTGTCCTTAGAGAGGCAAAGAGAACGTTCCTCCACCCAGAGCCTTTACGTAATTGGTGTTGGAATTCTGAAAAGGCCCACTGGGCCTGGACTTACCCCTGGTCCCACAGGCGAGTCCTGGGGGGCGACAAGCCCCTGGGGAGGTGGCACTGGCGGTCCTGGGAGGAAGCACACGGACAGAAGGGACCGTCAGCCTCAGAGGGGCCAAGGCACCCCGAGCTCCAGCGCATCAGGGCCTGGCACATGTCTCCCTTGGGTGGTGATCAGCGCTGCCCCTCGGCGCTGGGCAGCAGTGGCCGCGCAGTCCCTATGCTTAGTGGTCTGGAGAAGACTCGGGATGCGTGACACACATCAAGGGCCGCTCCCCCGTGTCGCTGGCTCGGGAAACGGAGCCTGAGCTCAGTCTGCTTCGCTCCAGCTCGCTCCTGACTTTGCAGGGCCCCATCTCTGTGGCTGGCGGTCTCACTAAGCGTGCACCTAACGAGGAGTGCGTGTGGGACACCCCAAGTTCTCATGTGCTTACCCCACGGCGTTCCCATCTTCTCATCTGCTCGGACGCCATGCCGTTGGAAAGCAGGGCTCTGATGTCTGCCTGGGCTGGTGCTTTCCTGGCTGGGGCCCACTTGCCATTTTGTTAAATAAGAAACTTCTACACAGACACACGTGGCAGATGTCACTGGCCAGGCTGCAGAGCACTTGGCTTCTCCCATCACTCACAGCCCCGCTAAGCTCAGCCGGCCTCCGAGTCCTCCCCCCTCCAGCATGGGCACGTTGGCACCGGGAGTCCAGGCCAGCCCTCCACAGGGGCCTCCTACCGAGGGGCTAAGAGAGTCCTCTGGCCTTGGTTCCTGCAGGGCCCAGGTGCCCGTCTGCGGCAAGCACGCTCCGCCTCCCATGGGGCCACCTGTCAAGCACCATCCCCGCACAGCGGTCCAGGGAGGGGCTGGGCTGCAGGCGGCCTGTGCTGCTTCCACCCCACCCCTAAGCCATGTGGGAGCATCAGGCTGAGCTGCCCCCGGGCCCCCAGGCCCCTGCGTGCCTGCACGGGAGCCCCAGGCATCACTCAGGTCTGCGAAACCTCCCCAGTTCACCGCACTGTGCTTGGGCGTCAGGCGTCTGTCGTGTCACTATCATTTCACTTGTACTACACATCTCCTGCCTTCACTCACCAACGTCGCGACCTCCAGTCAACAGTGCGGCTGCCTCAGCCTGACCCCGAGCCCATCCTGACAGGACCCCCTGTGCCCACCTGAAGGCCAGCTGTGACCAGGGTACGTGCCTGTCCTGGGTGACCACCTAGACACCCTGAGGACCATGGCCCACCTTCAGCCCTTGTGGCCCTGCCTCGTCCATCACAGTCCCGTTTGCAGAGACCACACTGTGCACTGCGTGTGGCCACCACCCTGCCGAGCTTCAGCACAGCCTGGACCCCTGAGAAACCACAGCCCGCCCCCAGGAGGCCTAGCCCCACACCTCCTGCGACCCTCGCGAGGCCCTGGTCACCCGCCCCTGGCTCTCCCTCCCTACTCTGTGGCACCTGCTGCTGAGGTCCCCACATAGCCACACCTGAGCCTGGGAACAGGCAGGTGGCAGTGAATGTGCGCCGAGCCAATGAGCCTGTCACACTCCCTGCAGCCCCGAGTCCCCAGGGCACACAGTGCAGGCTGGGCCCTCAGTACCTGCCGACCCACCAAGTGACCCAACACTCAGAAGAGGATGCCAGCGCCGCCCTGTGCTGCTCTGTTCACCATAAAGTAAAAATAACAGACACAACACCTTCCTCCACCATGGAGGTGTCGAACACACAAAGCGCACCCCAAACCCAGCCCTGCTGTACCCCAGGGCCGATGGGTCACCCAAGCGCCTTCCCGCTGCTTCAGAATCCACCTGGAGAAGGTGCCGCAGTCTCACCCCAGGCTGAAGGTCCGGGCTGATGGGGGGTGGGGGGCAAGACAAGGGCGCAGACAGAGCTCCCCGCTCAGGGGGTCCAACCCACCCCTCCCAGCTCCTTCCTAACAAGCCAAGTCAGCTGGTCCCCGAAACCCGGGACACTCTTGTCCCAGGAGCCTGCGGTTTTGGAAATGAGCTTGCGGCGGGTGGGGCGGGGGGAACCACGGAGCAAGCTTTGCTTCCCAGGACCGACGTGATCTCACTAGAAGCAAAATGCAGACGAGGGTTCCGACTGCCCTGGAACCGCGAGTCTTCCCAGACAGTCTCAGAGCTCTGCGCAGCAACTCACCCAACCCTCCCCCGAAACAGTCTAAAGATGAAACACAAGAGCAGCAGCAGAGTCTGCTTTGTTCTACCGTAAATGGAGACTGAAAACTCCACAGGCTGATTTTGGTAACGAGGAAAAAATTGCAGGGAATGGCTCCATTTTCCTTTGCTAAGAGAAACCTGGGCTTAGAGCCAGACCCTCCGCGTGTTGCCAGGATGAGTAAAATCTGAATGCGGTGGAAAGTTAAGCCACCGAAGCACATTAAAGCTTCTCACCGTCTCAAAGTTGGGTGTTGTGCGGTATGTTTTCTTAAGGTAATGCTTTACATCGTGACCTACGCCATCTTCCTAGAGAATAAAAGCACCAAAAATAAAGCTTTGGTAGCGATTAAAAAGGTGCCTGCTGATGAGCCAAGGGCCAACAAGGCCCAATTCCACATACATCAGGGAGGCACGGACTGAGAGAAAATACACCAGGACCACAAAATAACTCAGTTTCAGACCATTTTGTTTTCACGGTCCAGCTGGCAATTGTTGGTTGCTTCACCAACCACACTACCTAATAGTCACACCCAGAGAATATCGTGTCCTCCAGGGACCACCCATTTTAATTCCTCCAAGAGTCTCCCAAAAGCCAGGATGAGGGTAGCTACCTAGGAAGCCCAACTTATGCCACAGGGCATGACTGGGGCAACACGCATGTGCAAAAAATCTGTCTAGTAACATCTGTGGTGTGCACAGACGGGTGCAAATGTCTCATGTGCACCAGGACATGTGCACAGGCGTCTGCGGCTGCACCGGGTCATGTGCACAGACGTCTGCGGCTGCACGGGGTCGTGTGCACAGACGTCTGCGGCTGCACCGGGTCGTGTGCACAGACGTCTGCGGCTGCACCG